GCTACCACGGTTCTGAATGGAAGTAGAATGCAGGACGCGTCACTCGGATGGGGTTTACTAACCACCGAAGACTATCTTTTTTATTACATCTGTTTCGAGGTGTACTTTTATTATAGTAGCACAGCAGACTGTAGCAGGTATTAATTCTACACCAAAAGCGCCTTCATTAGCTGTTTTTTAGATGGAAGTTTTAGATGAAGTCGGACTATGAAATTTCGGTCAGCATCTTCTTTCGATGAATATTTCATCCTTCGTTTGATGGGAGCAGGTTGAAGCACAAGTTCAGAAGTTTGGGGTTGAACATAAAGACTTTTTAGTAGCTGCTTTTGACTGTGCCTCCACTACATCCTAAAATTGATATTTTCTCGTCTTGGAAGGCGGAATCATCCCCATTCGACGAACATGTCCCAATCCGATGCAAATTTATGTAGGGTATCATTTTTTAGACGTTTTTCGCCGTTTCAAAATCGGTATTTTTCGATTCATTACCATATTTGCTCAATCTCACATTTGTTTTCACACATTGTTTTCCTAGATCATAATCACTGGATACTACGTAGTAAGGGATGGGATTTCAGGGGTTAAGGGTATAGACAACCTGAATGGGTGTTGAAGAGGAGGGCCTACATCAGACCAACGGTTTGCAGCTTCCATTGGTTCTGCGGCCCTAACCAGTTCATCACCCTTTTCTAACCCTTCTTTGATTTTGATCGAGTTTCTCTTGTTCATAGAGCCAAAACCTTTTTCGACCCCGATTTTTTCTTTTGGTGTTCTTAAAGTAACTATTTTTTTTCAGTCAAGTACTGAAGTAGTTTAAGGTCCGGTGCTGAATGTGGCAAAAATGGTTCGGAGAAGCTGTATGTTGTGTGGAAAAATGTACAAGCAGGAGAAGCTGCGCTATGTATCTGTCAATAAACCGCATAATGCAATTCTCGTCACTTTGCTGATGGTTTCATCGTCGGCAGACTTGAAGGAAATGAAAGCTGTCTACGAAAAAGCCATAACCTCAAAGAAACATCTGTGCAACAGCCATTATATTGATGCTGTAAGTCTTTTATAGGCTGTTTAGATTTTATTTGTTTGCTTCGTTATTCGTTGAAAAATAGGCTTGTTCTGGTAGTTATTAAAAGGTAGTACTGTTGAGACAAAAGAAATAACTGCGAAAATGCAGGGGCGCAGCTTGTGAATATTATGCGCGCGGTTGCGAAGCTGTTTACGTAGACTAGAGAAACTGCAAGAATTCATACAGATAGTTTTGTTTTCGGACCTCACCTTGTTGTTAGGCCTTTTTCGGTGAGCCGCTGCTTGTTACTGCGTGATTTCAGTGGGAACGAAAAGTGGGGTGTGCAGAAGGATGGTTTTTACAGAGCGTGGGGGATTGTGAGATGAAAAATAGACAGAGAGTTACTTTTTCACCCAAACGGCAAATTGTGCTTGGATGGCAACGGTAGAGGCTCGAATTGTGTTCTTAGGTCTTCATAGGTCATAGTGCCCCCATATAATTGCTCACGAGGTTTGGGGGTTCATTTCGGTTCCCCTTTGCACTGGTTCTACTGCTTCTATGCACTGAGCAAGGGACCATTCTCAACTCTAATTATTGTTTTTGGACGGAATACTGATTACCAGCTCACCTTCAAAATATCCACTGCACGTCTCTCGGAAGTTATGAGCAGGCCATCGAATCGAGCAAGCAGTCCGTTATGTAGGGAATAATGGGACCGCGATGAGACCAGACCAAGGTGTATTGGCTACCGCCTATGGCTTTTGGTGAGGTGCTCACGCCAGTAATGGTACCAACCGGTTGAGTGGTTGCCCAAGCTTTAGACGTACAGAGGCAGCTGGCTGTAACTTCGTCAACTGTAGGCAATTACTTCGAAGCACTCAGTTGGAATGGCACTACTTGCCCATGTGGGAAAGATACGAAGACACCATCCAGCTGAATGTGATATCAGGAAAAAGAATTACAGCGGTTGCTGTCCTAGGCAGCAATCCTCTAAAGTTCATTGTCTGTCTCATAAGGTTGGCGATTTGTGGGCAAAACCTTGGCCTAGAAAGGGACTCGAACTCGTACTTGTGCTTTTCGGGCGCCGTATTCCTTATCCCTTATCCTATGGAGACCATTTTCCCTTTTTTTCATTGATTGTATTTCGTTGACAGGAAAGGGAATGGTTTTGTTTGTTACAGGCCAAATATCTGGCAGCAGAGATGGCTGCAGTTGGAACTCGGTTCTCGTACTACAATGATCCAGCCGCTGTCGGGAGCACGGCCTATGTAAATGAAGCCGAGATTCCGCTACACGTCATGGATCTTCTCAACCTTTACATGAAAGATATCGATGTGAGTTTGCCCAAGCTTTTTTTCGAAATTACTCAAGAACTTCGTGAGAAGGGAAAGACGGGAGGGGGAGCCAATAAAAGTGGTAAACCCTAAACCTGGCCAAAAATGGCCAAAATTGAGATCATCGCTTTCTGTTCGGGGCAGGGGTCAAAGCCAACTGAAGATCATTAAGACCGACCATGGAATCGTAGAGAATTGGAAGCTCGTTGGTTAGGGTGGATTTGAACCCTCAAAGTTCGGTGCGACACCTCCAACTACTGTTCAAATTGCCAAGAAGCCCCATGAAGGCGTAAGTTCTGATCTCAGGAGGCTTTGGTGTGAGGATCTTTGCTAATCCATTTACTGTCCCTTTACCCATGTACTCTAGAAAAACAGAAGCCGTTTGGGAGTATTTCGGGAGAAAAAGGCGACAGCAATTCACAGATGATTTTTAGAGCATGAAGTTGCATGAAAATGATTTTGTCGTTTTCAGAGCGCAGTTGTTATCACAGAAAGAGACATCTGTCAATTTCTGAATGACGCCCTTCGTCGCTACTATACACCTGAAGGATGGAGTTCAGGCAGTCAGGTCAATGAAAAGGTTGGACAAGTGTTTACCTTTTTGAGGGTCGTCAACTAGATTGAATGGAGTTTTCTAGATGGACTGCGAGGATGGAATGAACGAGGCAGGTGTGAGTGGACTCACAGCTCAATCGGGACACGAATCCTTGGACAGTTCCTCCGCAAATCCTACATCA